GGAAATGAGAATAGGAAGGAAAGATGGAGAGGAAAGAGGGAGGAGTCAATTCAGTCTTAAACTTTTACATGGTTTAAATAAATAAGACTTTGAAACCTGTGGAACAGTGAGCCTAATTTAAACCAGGCATGAAAGTCCTTATCATTTTAAGTATATTATTTTGTGGAGTTTTGAAAAAATACTTCCCATCCTTCAATTCAATGGTGATCATTCTGGCTAACCTGAAGAACTGACTTATACCTAAAAGTTACTGAGGTACACAGCACAAAGCTGAGCACCCTGATGATGAATCAGGGCCTTCAGTTTTATTCCTGAAAGAGGCTATATTGAGAATATTTATCAACTTTATGACTATTCTAGAATTATATTGATAAGCAAGTCTGTTAGAAGTTCCCTGAGATGAGAGATGTCAGGAAACTTAGCATTCACTACCAGGTTTTGATCTAAAGAATTTCTTGAGAGCACAGTAATGATATTTGAGTTTTAAATATTAAAGAAATGTGCAAAGTCAGACAACTCAAAATCGGATTTACTGTATAACTTAATACAAGAAGGAGAATAACAAGAGAAGAAAATCTCCTTTGCAAAAGTAACAGAGGCAGAATGGCCAGTTTTCAGATTCAGGCAGTAAAGAGTTTAGAAATGATTCACTGGCTATCTTAGATTGTACGATGTATTTCATTATTAACTGTCCGAGCCGGCTTTCTAACTTTAGGCATTTTATAAGCAAAATGCCTAGTCTCTGCCACCACATCCCAAAAGGAGATCTGATTTCTGGGACACGTTCCACTGGGGGATCAGGGTGTAAGTGTGGACATCATACCTGTTTGGAGCTGGGTGTGATTACAAATCACCTTCCATACCTTATGTGAAACAGGTCAGTAAACTCCCCAGAGCAGCAAAGACACAGGGGAGGGAAGTCTGCTTTGTGTTTCTTATGCAGTCCCCAACCCCCTGAATTTTCATCACCTTGGTATTTGAGCTAATGGTTCAAATCCGTAAGTCTCTGGGGATGCAAACTGCTTGGTTTTCAAGTTGTTCACCTGAGGCCTAAATTTCTTGCAGGATTAGAGAAGATGTCTTTGGTGTCAAAGAGAGTGCTCTCAACACTCTTGAAAGTCACAGCACTTAATTAGCTTTCTAGGTTGGGATTTGAGTGATATACCCATTGCTTCAGCTGAGGGAGTTTTGCTAGTTCAGGTATTAATAACCTGAGGTGTTTGCATGCACATCAAACCAGAAATTTGAAAGTCATGCTCAGCCATGTGCCTGTGCTATTCTGGCAAGCTAGTATAGTATAGCTAATATAACCAGTCAAGTAAGCGCTCCAGGACCACTTGGTGTCTTCAAGAACAATGTGACTTTACCTTTAAGAATAATCAGAAGTACGGCATTATTTTGCAATACAATGCATTTTCATTTGTTCTGTTTCCTTTTTGGTTTGATGATTATTTTGATGTCCTCTGAAACAGCACACAGTGTTCTTGACTCATCTGTTTTGGAGGGAATGCAGACAAGTGCCCTATCCCATGCTACAGGGAACAGCTGTCTATTGACTAGTAACGTAAATTGATAGTTTTGCTTATTACAGCAACATGGGTATTACAAGCTTTGCAAGATTACACGGCAGATAAGGTATTTCTAGAACTACAGCCTAATATTTCTGCAGATGCAGCATGCTGTGCTGTTCTATGTGCAGTACAGCTTAAAATCATTATCTTAAGGGTTTGGGGGTTTGTTTTTTGGATGAAGATTTCATAACCATTTTTACAGAATAATAATACAGCTGAAAATCTAGTGTTTGGGCAAGCTTGCTTTTGACTTTCTCCTCCCTTTCAATGTAATGCAAAAATTAAATCTTTTACTTGGGCTGGATAGCAAAATATCCCAACATTTCTCTGACTAGCCGAACTTGTAAATGAATTGACTTCCTGTTAATGCTGGAGCAGCTGAGCTTAATTTATCATGAATGTTAATGAAAAACACTTCAGAAAGTCTTATGTGTTCCTGTTGCAGCCAGATTTCATCATTTGTTCCTACAGTTGTGAGTACCGGAGGTATTTGTATGTTCATCGAACTAGGAAAACAGGAGATGGGAACAAGCAACATGTGCCCAAGCTCAGCTAGTTAGGGCAGCTCAGCTGAGGAACTGTGCATATCTCATATGCACAGGAAACATCTTGAGAAGGAAAGTCTCACCAAAAATGTATCAGATTGTATTGTAGAAGTGTTGTAGCTGCGATGCCGTACAGATGTAAGCGCCCTGGTTAAGGTGTTCAGGGAAAATTTAGCCTTTTTTTTTTTTCTTTTCAGCTTCTCTAGCTGATTGTTAAAAGTTGTCCTCTCTCCCCACAAACCTTTCCTCAAAGGGTGTTTCAGAAAATCATAATCTGTTTGCAGATATTATTTTTTGCAGGAGGAAGAGTCTTTCAACTTGCAAATAATGTGCTGAAAACGGACTTCCTCCGTTCTTTTTTTGGCTTTTTATATTTTGGGTGGAGGCAGTTAAGAAAGCTGCATGGTTCCTGAACAGGCAAGGAATAAAATAATTGCCACAGATTTTTGTAATCCAACTAGACGTTTGTTAGTTACGTAATTTCAGCTAGCCTTTGATAATTTATATCGTTATAAGTATACGCTATGTATGTGGCCTTATATTTCTTTTTGCATTTGGCTTTACTTCCTGCTTCTGTCCAGTAACAAAAGTGCTGAAATAAAAGAGAGAGATGCTGTTGTCTAGTATTTCTGACCTCAGCAGACAGAGTGAGTCCTAGGAATCGGCTAAAAGATTTCTTTATTTTATTTTCAAATATTAAAATACTGAAAGTCTTATAAAGACCCAGCTAAATTACCAATTCCTTTGTTTACTATCCCTCCAGTGCTCAGGTGCACTCAGGGGCACATAAGAACTAGTTGCATGGAGTAAAACAAAAAGATCAGAATTTGAGCTACAATTTTATTTTATTTCAATGACAAATTTACATTGTCAGAAGATGTAACACAAATAACTATAACACAGAAAACTGTCTTTATTATAACAACCTATTTGTTAATCAAAATAGTCCTACTTTTTGAGTACGCACAACCAGATTTTCAGCTGTATGAACTTTTTGCTTCAGTTACATCTTAGGCTAGTCACCATTCATGACTTACAGCATCAATTAAACCAAATTCTTTTTCTCCTGAATTTAATTGATAGCAATAATTTTAGGACACTGCACATTCCTAAGCACAAATGAGACATAACTTTTTTTCATGTAAAGCTGGTCAGAATATGAAGAAATATGCACACACTGATTATGACTATTCACCCATCTTTAGTTGAATGTGTAAGTTAATTAATAATGTTGAACATATTTTCTTTGTGAGTAAAGGCTTAAAAATGAAGCTTTCCAGAGCTAGCTCAACCAATTGCAGGTGAAATAGATACAAAGTACTTTCAGCTAATATTTTTATTAGAATTCCTGAATCTGTTCCTCTATCAAATGCAGCAAGGCTTGTAACTGGAAGTTTGGTACTCATCTACACAAGACGTCTGCTTTTTGCAGGTGTTTCTAGTGAGGAAGATCAAAGGATCTGATGCAGGTCAGCTTTATGCCATGAAGGTACTTAAGAAGGCAACTCTGAAAGGTAAGGATTGGGACGGTGGCTGCAGTCTCTATTTCTGTGCTACTTCATCATTTACTTGTAATTTTTTGCATTGCTGCTGTCTTATGGTATGTAAGACTACACAAATATGCTTCTGCCACCCTCCAAAATTCCACCTCGCTGTAGTGAATGTTCTAAAAAAGCATACACAAAAAATGTTACCTGTATACAGTGTGGGAGCAGGAAAACAGGGCTTCAGAGTTTTCTAGCTGCATGCTTTCTTCACTTTTTTGGTGTTATTTATAGGACTTCTATTGGGCATATATTAATTTGTATCGCAGTGGCAGTATCTGTCTGTTGCTGAAATAAACTGAAATAAGTGGTTTTAAATAAGGATATTGCTGAAGTAAAACATGACTCCTACTGGGCCGAAAGGCCTTCCAGTTGGTGCTTCTCACCATATGCCTGAAAATGCATGGGAGCATATTTTCAAGTGCAATGAGTCATTCTGAGGTTGTTGAGATCATGCTGTTCCCTAGCTCAGGACCAGTCAGCACATGGTCTGTAATAGGCTGGGGCTAAATGACTGATGTTTAAAACTGGTCATCCTCTTCTGGGGCCATTGACTGCTACAGCCTCACTCAGACCAAAAAGAAATTTCTAGTAAAGCACAGGACTGAAAAGCGAACAGAGTAAGTTCGGTCTCAGCTGAAGTCCTTACTGTTTGTTCCTCCACAGAGTTAGGAAGATCCAGTCATCTTCTTGTTTCCCTGACCTAGCACTGTACTCTGTTTTTTCCCCTCAAAAGCCTGGCACTTTTTGCAGAGAAGGTGGACAGCGTTCATTTTGCCCAGAGCAGCTCTTTCACTCTTTCTTGGACAATGTGGGTTTGCACAATGCAATATAGTGCCTAAATTTTTATCCTAATGTGAAGAGAGATCATTCTGAGATAGTTCTGATGACTTAAAAATCCAAATTGCTTTAGCATGCCTCAGTTTGGGGAACAAAAAGAAGAATGAAGCTACCGGTAATTGCAAGGTAGATTTCCAGCAGGTGGTGGCAGGCAGACATAGCACCTCTTCTGAGTACTAGTCAAATGGGGAAGTGGCAAACCAGGTATTTACACAACCCTTTCCCCTAAGAAAGCCTTTTCAAAGAAACATTAGTTTGAAGCGATGCTGGTGTGCTGATCTTTTTGTTTGGAATGTAGATGGGAAAGTTTGTTCTGGCAGGACAGCACGGTGTAAATAACCACTTAAATAGTACTGGGCGTAATACATAAAAAAGTAAAAGGTCAGGCCTGTGTACACAATACGTACAATAGAGTGATTCTCTGACTTCTCAACCAAGAAGAAGGACCGCGAAGTGCCCAAACGGGGCTGAACTCAACTCTCAGAGCCCTCCCCACGTGGGAAAGCTGTCTCCTGCTGGGCACGGCGTCTGAGGAAGGACTGTGTGACCTCTCTGATGTCAACACGTACCAGAGACTTATTTCTGTTTCTTTTGACAACGCAGAACTTTTCACCCAAAGTGAAAATTGGGTATTCCCTCTTTTTCTGCTTAACTCTGAGGTGTGTTGAGCAGAAAAAGCTTGGGAAGGGGGAGGGTTTCTTCTGCATCCCCAAACACGATTGTTACTTAATAGTTGATAGCTAAATCTGTAATGTTAGATTCCACTGGGAGAAGAAATCTGTATTATGGCAGTATTTTAGGAAATCTCAAAATTTAGATGATGATTTTAAACTACCAAAAGTATTGCCTCAAATTTCTGTTCCGTCAAGAACAGGCGTCTCTGTTTACAGTTCCTCGGTTCATTAATACCACAGAACCACTGCTTCTCTCCTTCCTTGGCCGTTGCAGCAGCCTATTTATTGTTTTCTCAAGTGTGGGTCACAACATCCAAAAGATGAGGCTGCTTTATTATTTTACTGGATTGCATTTCTCTCCCTTTCAGACTACTTACCCCTCTGACTGGTAGCTCTGGATTTCCCATTAATCTCAAGAAAACTAGCACATCGGTAGGAAGTAATTTGTCCACACTAGTTTCTACAAGTAAGTTAAACTTGACAGCTATTTAATTTGAAGTACAAAAATGAAGGCAAAACCCCATTGGCACAGGGCAAGTGAGAAAAGCAACAATGAGGATTGCTGTCAGTGAGCTTCTATGTAACTTTTGGCACAGAGATAATATTTCTGACAGCTTAATTTCATCTTTTAAGTAAGAGTGCTGAATTGTTGCTGCCTACCTATACTCAGAAAGGCTGGAAGTCACTCCAATGTGAAGTATTTATTACCATGTCAAGTAATGGGAACAAAGCCATAAATACTTGTTAGCACTGTGTTCAGTATTTACTGACAAAAGGAATGCTATGAGACAAATTTCTGAATGATTTTGCCTCCTAATCTGTACTGCACAGTACAGCACGGAGCAGGAAAGTCAAAGTTCTTGGTGCCGGTGCCATTGACATGGCTACACAGTCCTAAATACCATAGCAATTATTTTCTTTAGAGAAACAAATTTGCAAACATATAAAATGGAGAGATGAGAAAGAAAAGAAAAGAGGACGGTAGCAAAACTGTTTTTTCTCTTCTGGATTAGTCTGAAGAACTAAAACCCAGATAAATAAAAATGTGAGGAAGTTAAATGCCTTCAGGAGTGATGGGTTAAAACTAGCTTTGTACCTTGCTCCAAAGAACAACCATAGTGGGTCCTGCCGAAGGGTTTCCTATCCCAGGAGCCTGGCTCTGGCTGTGGCTGGCTGGTAACGTTTAGGAAGAAGCAGAAGCACAAAACGGTGCTTTCTCTAGTGAGTCTGTGGCCTCCTGCCTCTTCCCAGGGTAGTTGTCCCTTGTTAGCATGGTCCCAACTTCACTAACAGCAAAGGGTAATATAAGAAGGGTACAGCAATCAGCAGCAGCACTCTTCAAGCATTTACAGCTCAAAAAAGTCGTTTGATATAAAAGAGGCTTTGTAGATAAATTGCATTTGTAGATTTAAGCTTGAAAAAGATCTGCTAAACAGCAG